CAGCGAGAGACAAGAGGAATTTGAAAACCTTATCGAGAGCCACAGAGGTGGCTCGAGGGGCATCCTTACCCAAGGAGGAACAAAACCTTAGCCACTTGTAATGATAAGATTTTCGTGTAGTGGACTTTCTGGAGTTTAGCAAGACATTTGCTATGTGGGAGGAAAAGCTGTTGACACCACTCTCCAGGCTGTCAACTTCACACGTGGCACGTCGTGGTATAGGAGAGGGGACTCGGTTAGGAACAGAAGGTCTTGTACCGGAGGAAATTGGTAGTAGACCCCCGCTGACAGATCGAGGATGGTTGAGAACCATGGTTGCCTCGGCCACCATGGGGTTATGAGGATGCAGTCCGCTCTGTCGCTGATGATTTTGCGGACCACTCTCAGAAGTAGAGGCAGTGGAGGGAAGAGGAAGAGAAATTCTCTGGACCACGGGTAGAGGAGACTGTCCCCTAAAGGCTGTGGGTCCCTGCCACCTCGGCTGCAGAACAGAGGACACTTTTTGTTCACCCTGGTGGCGAAAACATTATTTGGGGGAACCCCCACTTGCGGAAGAGTGGAAGAAGGTAAGTCGGATTCATTTCCCACTCGTGCAGACTGAGTCCTGCCCAACTCAGGTGGTCCGCCTGCATATTCATGTGCCCCAGGATGTGTGTGGTGACTATGAAGACGTTGTGGGCGATGCAGAAGTCCCATAACCGAAGGACGAGGTCGCAGAGGTGTTGGGAGACAGTGCATCCTTGCTTGTTTACGTAGCTGAGGGCAATAGTATTGTCCATGAGGACTGTGACACACTTCCCCTTTATCAGGGGCAGGAAACTGGTGATAGCGAACCGTATCGCAAGCAGTTCCAGAAAAGTGATGTGCTGATTCCGTTTCTGTGTGTCCCATCTGCCTCCGACACAAAGTCCCATCATGTGGGCGCCCCAGCCTGAGAGAGAGGCATCTGTAGTCAGGGTAATTTGGGGTGATGGAGGATGGAAGGGTGCTCCTTGGAAAAGGTTGGAAGAGGCAGTCCACCAAAGTAAAGAGTCCCGTACTTTGACAGGCGGGGATAGGTGGGTCGAGTGTGTGTCTCGCTCTGGCTTGAAATTGCGGATAAACCAGAGTTGCAGGTGGCACATTTTCAAATTGGCAAACACCAGGACTGATGTAGTAGCGGCCATGAGGCCGAGTAACCTCTGTATTTGGAAGGCCGTCACTGAAGGCCGAGTATGCATGACAGTGGCTAGATTGACAATGTCGGCGGCTCTGTTGCAATTTGTGGAGTCCAGTAGTGAACCGATGTAGTGTATTTTCTGGACCGGTTGAAGTTGAGACTTCTCCAGATTTACTTGCAGACCCAAGTTTCCCAGGAGGGCTAGCGTCTCATTGATGTTCGAGACTAGGGCATCCCTGGAAGTTGCAACCAAGAGCCAATCGTCGATGTATGGGTAGATGGAGATACCCTTGAGACAAAGGAAGGCCACGACCACCACCATCGTCTTTGTGAAGACTCTCAGTGCACTTGAAAGGCCGTGAAATAGCAGGAATAGAATCCCCTGCCCTGTAGATGAAGTGGCACCGGCTCAATGGCTCTCTTGTGCAGAAGGACGGACACTTTTTCCAGAAGGGCTGGAGAAGGGGGGTGGAGATGAATACAGGAGTAATGGGGTTCTGAATAAATTTTATGCGGTAACCCTGGGTCACGATGGACAGCACCCATTCGTCTGTGGTGATGAGGCGTCAAGTTCAAAGGAAGGGGGTTAGATGGGTGGGATGTGACTGGAAGACATGGAAGTCAAAAACCCTGTTTGGCAGACTTTGCCTGCTTAGTGCGGGAGGATTGTTGAACCGATCCAAATCTAGGTTTCTGGAATGTAGGTTTCTGGCCTCCAGAGGATGTATGTGGCCTCCATTGCCGCTCAGGAGACTGACGGTTTGGGGTACATTTTTGCCAGGGTCTAGACCAGGGACAAGGCCAGTATTGCTGCCTCGTGGATGAAGAAACGCCCAGAGCACGAGAGGCTTTATGCTTTTGTCCATGTCTTGTAATATGATGTCTGTTGTAGTATTAAAAAGACCAAGGCTATCGAAGGGGAGGTCCTCTATGTATGTTCTTGTATCTGGCTGTAGATTGGTGTTACGTAGCCAGGAATATCTTCGGAGAGCTATGGCTGAAGCCATTGTCCTTGAGCAGGTGTCTAGGGCATGTTTAGAGGTAGTAATTTGTTGTTTTGCCAGCACCATGCCCTCCTTTTGGATGATGCGGGCTGCCTGACGCTTGTCTTCTGGAAGCTTTGCCAAGAGCTTGGAGAGCCTCTCCAACAAAGTGTACTGGTATCTACTTATACACGCTAAGTAGTTTGTGGTCTTCACCCCTAGCGCTCCAGTAGAGTAGAAACGTTGTCCGAATGCATCTAGCTTTCTGCTCTCCCTGTCTGAAGGGGCAGCATGGGTTCTCTTTGACTTGGATGAAGAAGTAACTACCATTGAATTTGGTTGAGGATGGGCAAATAAAAATTCTGCTCCTGTTTCCTGGACTCTATACATATGGTCCATGCGGCATGTGGACACTGGAGCCGATTATGGTTTATCCCATGGTGCTTTAGCTGCTTGTAACAGGACCGTGGACATGGGTAGTGCTATAGCCGTCGATGTATCTAGTTGTACCACATCAAAAACAGTATCTGTAACCTGTGGTTGTGGTTGTACGACTGAAAGGCCAAGGGAGTGGACCATTCTTTTAACGAGGTCTCCATAGGAAGTTAAGTTTTCAGATGGAGATATAGGTTGGTCATCGGCTACTGCCTGGTTCGGAGAAGACTGGTCAGGGGAGCTGTGTACATCTGAAACCCCCGTATCCGAATCCTCATCTGCAGAGTCAGAGGAATCGGGCTCTGGTAATTGTACTGGAGTGGTTTTGATCTGACTGGTTGGATCTGTTAACGGTGGGATAGGGGGACTGGGAGGACGATATTGATCCAGTCGATGTCAAGGAGGATCTTCAGATGCATGATCCGGAGGCCGGGAAAGAGATGCTGAGGGTGTCGGCCTCAATCTACGGGGTGACCGTGATCTGTGAGCAGAGTAATGATCCCAATCCGAGTAACCTGCTGGAGTCAACCACAGCATATATGCGGGTGGATAAGCTCCATAAAGATAACGTAGTTGACAGTGATCCCAGGAGAGGGCAGGAGGTGGTGGGGGTAGGAAGACTCATGGGGATCTACTCCTAGAGTGGGAGCATCTTGGAGATAGCATAGTATCTCATCTCCGTGAGCGGCCCCTATCCGCCCGATCATCGATATCGAAATATCGATCCTTGGCAAACAGATGGGGAGGATGACGTTGAGTGTTTGGAGGGATCTGTTGATGCCGACCTGCATCGATATCGGTGCCGAACTCCAGGACTGTCGACATCGATGACTGAGCAGAGGGAGAACGATCCGTGCCCAGGGGACGACTGAGGATCTCGACATTATCGATGTCGGAGAAAGGACGCATGTCAACCAGCGTGTCGTGGTCTAGCTGGTGTATTGGAGAGTCCATCAGCTGGATGGTTAGTATCGGTGGAGCGACTGGAGCTTCCGATGCCAATACGGAACGGGGGCACCTTAGGGGCATTACCCGGTGCAGGACCCGTGACTTTTCCTGCCTTCGACACCTTTAGGGCCTTAGAGGAACCCTTTTTGGCGGACTTGTGCTCTTTACCTGATTTCTCCTTTTTCTTTTTTACAGGAGTGGATGCAGAAGACTGCGCTGTTGGTACCGGACGTTTCGATATCGACTGGATGATGTCGGAGGAGGATTTCGAAGCTGGAGCAGTCAATGTTGATGGTATTCACTGGTACTTCTGGATCCATGGCGGAAGCGGGATTTAGCGCGATTCTAGTAATGCCACCCGGAGATGCGCCGCTCGGTTCTTCCTAGTCTGCTTGGAGAACTTGGCACAATGCCTGCAGGACTCCGGTCAGTGCGTCTCACCAAGACAAAAAAATACAAAGAGTGTGGCCATCCGGCGGAGCGAGCTTACTGCCTCACTCTTTACAACGTTTGAAAACCCCTCACCTTTTTGCCATAAAATAAAATGGATGGAGAAGAAAGATAGGTGAGGGGGGGCCCCCCAAAGGCCAAAATGAGGTAAGACGAAAAACTTACCCCTCAAAACTAAATAAAGTCTCTCTCTTTTTTTTAAAGAAAAAATGAAGAAGTGAAGGGAAGGTGAAAACTAAGAGGAAAAACTGAAGAGAAATCCGAAGAGCCTCTGAGGAAAAATAGCTACCAATCTGACCGACGAAGGAAAAGTGCTTCCAGCGCGGTGGAAAGAAAGGAACTGGCGGGATGTCTGCGCCCACCCCTCTGGGCATGCGTGGTGGGGGTTCCTGTGCATGCCTGAGGTCTGGGCGTGAAAATCCGTTAGAGCCTGTTAGAGCTTGCCACAGTACCGATCGATCCAGCGCAGGCACACTGTATCCCATGGGTGTGAAGCACAGAGACCACGTTGAAGATCAATTTGTTTTTACACAATTAAGGACAAGGGCTCCCCCCCCCCTTTTTTGTGGCCTCTAGTACTCAGTACTCTTTGTGGTTTCTTGCAGGGTTCTCTCCTCTTTTCTGCTCTTGTTTCACAAGTATGTCCCAGACAGGCTCTAAATTTCTGCCTCCCACAGAGCCTCACTGCCTCACTGCCAAGCCATGAAATCCTTATCATAAGCTAGCGTCTCCCCCCTACCCCACCCCACTCATCTGCAGCACTAGAAAGGGTGGCAACTTTTCCCTGCGTCAGCTCTTTTGGGGGGGGTAATTGGGGGGGGGACAGAACAAAAACATGGCCCTTACCCAGAAACCAGTTTTTCACATTTGTCACAAAAACAGAGCGGGTGGCACATTTTTTGCACGGTGTCCTTATCGCTGTCCCCTTGGCTCAGTAAGCGCTCGACTTCATCCTGGTTGCCCGAAGCAACGTGCTACAAAGGAAGCCAAAGAGTAAGACAGCTGCTAGTACAAAACCAAGAGTGAAGAGACTTGGGGGGGGGGGCACGGGATGGAGGAGGAGGACAGCTCAAAACTGCAAGGACAACTCCAGGCTGATACACACATTACAGCACGCGTAGGTGTGTGGCCTCCACTTTATTTTTCAACTGCATTCATGTATCTGGGAAACTGGCTGAAGCTTCCAGGAACTTGTTGACCCTGAGCATGTGTGCATTCAGCAGCCTCACGTAAGCCACTTAAATGCAAACAACAAAGTAACAGGTTGCAAAAGTAAAGGTAAAGGTTCCCTTGCTCGAAAGCCAGTCGAATCCGACTCTACGGTTGCGGTGCTCATCTCCGTTTCAAAGCCGAAGAGCCAGCGCTGTCCGAAGACGTTTCCGTGGTCATGTGGCCGGCATGACTAAACACCAAGGCGCACAGAACGCTGTTACCTTCCCATCGAAGTGGTACCTATTTATCTACTTGCAATTTCTTGCTTTCGAACTGCTAGGTTGGCAGGAGCTGGAACTAGAGATGGGAGCTCACTCCGTCATGCGGCACCCGGGTCTCGAACTGCTGAACTACCGACCTTCCACGGCCTGCAGTTCAGCGTCTTAACCAGTTGAGCCACCGCAGCTCCCAACAGGTTGTAAAGAGAATGCTAAAATACCCTTTTTTTAAAAAAAATGGGGGTGGGGACACTGAAGCAGACACCCTCCTTAGGTACACATCCCTTTTGCCTCACTTCAAAAAGCTGTTCATGCATGATTAACCCAACTCTGGAGTAGTTTCAGAAGGCAGGCATGCCAGAGTTGGGTTAACAAGTTCCTGGAAGCTTCAGCCAGTTTCCCAGATACATGAATGCAGTTGAAAAATAAAGGAAAAAACAAATGGCCCACAGTGGAGGCCACACATCCATGTGTGCTGTAATGTGTGTATCAGCCTGGAGTTGTCCTTGCAGTTTTGAGCTCTCCTCCTCCTCCTCCTCCATCCCCCCCCCCAGTTGACCCTGAGCTTGTGTGCATTCAGTAGCCAGATTCGAGTCCCGCTGCAGCTTAGAGACCAACGCGATTCAGGGTATAAGCCTTTGAGAGTCACAGTTCCCTTGGTCAGATACAAGTCAGAATGGAGATCTCTGAGTCCTTATATCCCAGTCAGAAGGCAGGAGGGGGGCTGCAAACATTGTACCTACATTGTACCTCTGCAACCTGAGTTCCTTCTTTGGAACACCTCTCCCACCTTCTGACTGGGATATACAGACTCCATTCCGACTTGTATCTGACGAAGGGAGCTTTGACTCTCGAAAGCTTATACCCCGCAAAACCTTGCTGGTCTCGAAGGGGCTACTGGACTTGAAACTAGCTGTGTTTGTTGAATGTGTGCATTCGGCTGCATGCACTACAGTATGGAGAAAAGAAAACAGATCAAAAGCCACTGCAATCCTAAACAGTCCACCCTTTTTTAAGCCCATTGATTTCAATGGTCTTAAAAGCACATAGGGGTTTTTCCGCATTCTCATTTTAATCGCTTGTGTGTTCCTGTTGCTTGGGTGGGGGGAGGTTTCTATGCCGCGCATGTTTTGTTCCCCCGATTGCTCGATTCAATATTACACCGCTTTATGTCCGGCATAAAAACCTGCAGTTTAACTTTGCAGGGAGATATGCCAGACACACAGTAATGTAATATTGAATCGACCACTAGAGGGAGCAAAACACATGCACAACAGACCCCCTGCCACCAAAGCAACAGAACACACAAGACAGGACAATGAGAATATGGAACCCCCCTAGGCTTGCTTAGGACTACAGTGTAAAAGACCTATATTCAAAGCCTAGTGGGAAAGATTTTCACTAGCTACAGGAGCCCCCAGAGGCATTTGACAAAGAGAGCTCGAAAGCTTATGCTATAATAAAGTTTGTTAGTCTTAAAGGTGCTACTGGGCTTCTTACTATTTCCCAGAGGAACGGAATCTCTGAACACAAGGGTGACCACAGAAATGGGTCGATAACCCGCATCATTTCAAGGAATACCCTGTGGCTTTGCCACAGTGCACTGTACCTTGACTAAAAAGGGACTGCTAAAAAACAGACTATAATTCCCATAACCACGGGAACAAAGAAGCGTTCTTCAGCACTGGACTTGCAACCACCTCTTTCAAACATGGAGTAACACCCTTAAAGAAATTTTCCGGTATGCAAAGAACACACTCAACAATTCTTCCCGGCCTTTAACCACACAAACAGGGGCCGGGCGAGCATGCTTGTGGGGAGAACACAGCCAATTACCCTGTCCACATTCCTGCATGCCAATAACTGAAACTCAGCTAATACATTCTGACCTGAGGATGATCCAGATGTCTCTGTCACTGGCCCCGCAAATGATTTTGTCTGCAAACCTCCCCCCCCCCAAGAGTGCTATAGAGGAATACCAGGGGTTCTAAACCTTCCAAGGAAGGGAAGGCAACTTACAGGGCTGATACAGTAGTTCAGTAATTCATACCTGAAACAAGCAGTCTATTGGCGTTGTGGACATCTGAGAGAGCAAATTCATTCTTTGTCTTAAGAACAGCTTCTCGCTAAACCCTTCAGAGCCCTACGAGAGAGAGAAGGAATGTACCACTAAATAAAAGAACATTTGGTATGTACATATATTTCTGATGCTTGCTTGCCTGACAATGGGAACAGTCCTAAACAGGCCTACTCTAAGTCCCATTAAGTTCAATAGCATCTACTCCCAGTTAAGTATGCAGTTTTCATGTGCAAAACAGTAGCAGAGCAGAGACAGCGTAGTGGTCAGAAGGTCAGATGAGGATCCGGGAGACCCAGGTTCAAACCACCACTCTGCCATGGAAACTCGCTGGGTGACATTGAGCCAGTCCCATTCACACACTTTCAGCCTAACCTACCTGACAGGATTGTTGTGCAGATAAAAAGGAGAAGAGAACACTGTAAACGGCTTTGAACCCCTATTGAGGAGAGGCAGGAGATAAATGATGTAAACTTTAAAAAAAAAAATCACACACATTCAGATGACCTGAATTAACACAGCGAGGGGTTAACAACCAGAGGCCTCTGGGTCATTCCAGCCCCCCCCCCAAATCACTAAATGACTAAACTGAGGCTCCTGTACTTAGGTCACATTCTGGGAAGACAAGGGTCTCTGGAACAGACAAAAATGCTAAGAAAAGTTGGAAGGCAGCAGGAGAAGAAGACGACCCAGCAGGAGACGGATTGACTCCATAGGAGGCCGTGGCCTTCAGTTTGCAAGACCTGAGCAAGCCTGTTAACGACAGGGCATTCTGGAGGACAGGGCTATTTTTGGGCGGGAACGCACAGGAACGGAGTTCCGGCTGGCTCCCGAGTTGGCCACGCCCAGCAGGAACTCATTAGGATTGGCTACATTAGGGGTGTGTGGCCTAACATGCAAAGGGTTCCTGCTACAAAAAAAAGGCCCTGGGTTTTGACAACAAACAAGGTAAACAGAATAAGAAGCAAGAGGTGGGTGTGGCTGGATGACCACACTTCTGGTAATTTGGGGGGTTGGCCTAATATGCTAATGAGCTGCTCTGTCAGGGGCATGGCCTAATATGCTAAGGCATTCATGCTGTTGGGTGTGGCCTATTATGCTAATGAGTTCCTGCTGGGCTTTTTCTACCAAAAAAGCCCTGCTGGAGGACATTAATTCATAGGGTCACCATAAGACAGAAGCAACCTGATGGCACTTAACCACCAAAGCTGTAATTTTTGTGTGTGTGTGTGCATGCGCTATAACAGAGACAAAAGATGTGGGGGGAGCCCTAGTTCATGGTTATGATTCTACTGTATTGGTTTTTGAAATGATAGCTTCGTGCTGCAATTCTGTTGGTTTTATACTTTTACTGTTAACGTGGCCATTTTTTTTCAAACTTTCTTTTAGTGGAGCACAGTCCAGAAATATGTTCTAAATAAAGCGGCAACAAAACGTGAGAGCAGGTTCATTTAAGGTGTGTGTGTGGGGGGGTGCAGCTCCACCTCAAATGCGCAGCCAGCCTTCGATCTAAAGCACTGTGACCTTGAACACATATCCCTGGGTCAAGTTTCTGTCAGGGCTGCAAAAATATATGAATGAAGATTAAGTTAATAGAATGCTTTGCATTCTTGGAAGGAATCCAACGAAATCCAAGGCATAGTACATAAGCTTTAAATTCCTTTGTGCAGCCGTTTCTGGAAAGTGATTTCTGCAAAAAGTGTGTTGCCAAATTATAACCGTACCTAATTCTAACGGGGGGGGGGGGATGAGGCAATCCAGTCTTCACCTCAAATTTCATATAAGCAGTGGTGTGAAGTTGCCGAGACATGAAACTATCTTAACCTTCCCCTCCCCCCACCCATGTGTAAATTTGTCCCCACAGGATGCAATTTTCACACAGCCATGCCTTGTGATGAAGAATTCCTTATGTGGAAATTTCAGATTGCGAAGTCAGGGTGTGTGGGCCCTACATGCAGATCCTAAATGGGGAAGTGGCATGAAAACAATTGTCATATTGCAGGAGTCCCCAACATGGCACCCAACAACATCTTTCTTGGTGCCCACCGAATGACTGTAGAAAGTGAGGAGCTAGGTGGGGCTTCTGCCCAACAGGGCTTTTGACTGGCTGCGCTAATTAAAAGGCATCCTGTTAAACAGAACTTCTGAAATAGTGATGAGGTACTATATAACACTCCCTCTAATCTCGCAATCTCTGACATTTGGTGGTTGTCTCCGCTTCCTGTGGTACCCATTTTGTGACTGGCTGTACCTCCTGAGACAGCCATTTTGTGATTATGCCCACCACTCCGTTAGAATTCCAAAGGTTCCCACATGTTTAAAAAGGCTGGGAACCCCTTTCACACTGGGGGCATAGCACATTCTTCAAGGGACTGACTAGACACTGTCCAAGCCACAGAAGACTGAACAGCTCTAAGGAATGGCACAGACTTCATGCACAGTTCAGAGCACACGTTCAGACGAGATGCACCTTTTCAGATAAGTAGGCTCATGAATGGCTTTAAAGCCACCCAGAAACAAATAGGCAATTAGAGGACCTGTTGCATGAAAGGTACTCAGCTTGCTTGGGTTAAAAGATGAGCCCATATGCTGAAGTTAACTGATGCTGCTTTTGTGTTCTTCCATCTCCTGAGTCACACAAATAACAGTCCCTTCATGGGCTAATGTATCTGCATCAAAGCAGCTTTCACAGGCACAGGCTTCAAAGATGGAAATTTGCAATACAACCAGCCAAGTGCTTTGTCCTTTATTGGTCTCATACAGTTTGGGCTTCTAAATATAACCTGGGCAGCATGAAATGTTGTAGGGGAAATGATGCTGTGCAGCTGGAGAAATACATGAGGCTCTGATGGAGTATCGTTGAAGCACACAGAACCGGGGAGTGGGGGGGGGGGAGATCTAAGGAGATATTAATGAGAGGGGAGACACACAATGAGTTTTACAAGAGAATATTCAGTAGAAAACAGAGTTTACAAGAGGATATTCAGTGCCATTTCACACATTACTATAGACAGAAGCCTCAACCAAGTGAAAGATCATCTGTCCTGCAAGACAGGAAGGACATCTGCACATCTGGTGAAGGTGGCAGTCAAATCTCTCAGCTAAGCAGGGGTCATTTCCTGCAGGAGCGCACAGGAGTGGAGCTCCAGCAGTAAAGAGCCCAGGGGGCGGGCACATGCAACAAGCCCCGCCCCCTGCTTTCAGCAGCCCCGGGCCACGAGGAGCAAGCAGCAGCCAGGTAAGTTGCAGTGGGTATTGCCTTCTGACACCCTTCCGGTGATGTCAGGGGGTGTGGCATATGCAAATAAGTTATGCTAATGAGTTATGCTAATGAGCTCCTGCACCTCTTTTTCTACAAAATGACCCCTGCAGCTAAGTACTGCAAAGGAAAACCCATCTGTCTTCGGTGGTTTAAAAAAGCAGACGGTATGTCATTCACATCATCCTGGCCCAAACTAACATATCATGTCAGGGCTTGCAAAGGAAGCCGGGCTATTACCGGATTCTGTTCACAGGATATACAAGAGACACTGGTCTGCTCTTCACACTCCTGCTACTCTGAACATAGTTATGGATAAACTAGGACAAGCAAGCCCTGTGATACTGATGGGAGTGTGTGGCTTGACGCTGGGATGATTAAAACACAGATTTTTCTCTTGTCCTGCCAAGGCAAAATGCAAATAAGGTCAAAAGACCAAAGGCACAGTTGCCGCACAAAGCAACAGCTCCAAAGGAAGCAAAGGGGAGGGGACAGGAAAAGGTGGATTTTATTTTCACATGTACACACAGCATTTTGTAAAGCCAGACATCCTTGGCTAGTTTATACAAAAGTTTCACGGGATAGTTGTGACACACTTTAAGCTTGTTGGCAGCACAGCACGAGAATGCTTATGCTTTTTGTTCCAACTCTGTTCAGATTTCTGCAATCTAAACCCTGTTGGCATTGTTCACCGGTTGTCCCATCCTGTCTATTATATTGATTTTTACTGCACGATTCTCCTTGAGTCACAATGAGAAGCTGTGTATGCACATGTGTAAAGGGGCAGTCGTCACAACCGCTTTATGGCAACCCCATAGTGTTTTCAAGGTAAGGGAGAAATGAAGGCGGTTTGGCCATTGCTTGCCTCTGCACGGCAACCCCGGGATTCCTTGGTGGCCCTTCTCAATCCAAGTACTAACCAGGGGCAACCCTGCTTAGCTCGCGAGATCAGGCTAGCCCCTGATCTATCCAGGTAAAGGCAGACTATAAGTGACATAAGAAAAAGGATAAATTACTGCTTTTTTTTGTTTATCCCTCTTTCCCATTATTTTCTTTATTCGCTTCAAAATATGTTAGTGGCAATATTAGCCCAATAAATGTACGTATGGGAAAACTTGGGGGTTGTCTCTCATACATCCTATCCTAGGTCATACCTCAGATCGTAACTGTGATGTCGACTTAATATTTCTTCACTCATGACATCTTAAAAATGCTGTGCTGTGTAACTAAAACCTAGTATTCTAAGCCCTATAACAGAAAACATGTCTGGCAGCAGAATCAACAGGCTTAGACTTCACTAACAGATGTCAGCTACACAGCAGAGCCAGATTTATTCCCCCTAATGGCACGGCCTTCAACTCTAATACCTAGTTCTCAGCAGGTTTGGGAGGGTTCAGAACACTCACCCAGCCGTACCACCGAATGAACTGTCATGGCTATATTTTCCCAGGTTCCCCCAGGAAAGCACACAGTACTAACTACCAGGGCTATTTTGGGGCAGGAACACACAGGAATGGAGTTCCGGCTGGCTCCCAAGTTGGCCACGCCCAGCAGGAACTCATTAGCATGATAGGCCACACCCAACAGCAGAAACCTACATTTGGGTTGTGTAGCCTAACATGCAAAGGCTTCCTGCTACAAAAAAAGCCCTGGGTTTTGACAACAAAGTAAATAGAATAAGAAGCAAAAGGTGGGTGTGGCTGGATGACCACACTTCTGGCAACGTGGGGGCGTGGCCTAATATGTTAATAAGCTATCTCAGGGTGTGGCCTAATATGCTAATGAGTTTCTGCTGTTGGGTGTGGCC